TAAATATTTTTATTTTTATTTATTTATTTGTATTGTATAAATTTATTCTCTACAAATTTGTTGGATCCTGAAATTCGGAGATTCCAAAAATGTTCGTCGATTTGTCGGTGTGGGTTCCGGAAGTACTCCAGAGAGCCAATCCGTCGTCGGGCAATGCGAATTTCACACGTTTACTTAACTAAACTACGATTAACTACGGAAAACGAGTAAATAAATTGCAGAAAGCATATAATCGGAATTAAATTACATAAACGAAAATAAAACAAGGAGGAAAAATATGAAAAGATGCGATTTGTTCTGTTGTGCGCGTGTGTGTTGTGTTTCTTTTTCCTAATTGTAGTTCTAGGCTAGAATAACCACTTCTCCCACTAAAAGGGGGGGTTACAATTATTCTTCCACTGCTTTCTACCTCTCTTAACCACCAAGTAACCTATTTCCATCAGTTCCCAGCGGCTTCCATTGCTCCTGGACCGGGTTCCATTCGTCTTGATCATCTTCCATCGTTCCTGGATCAAGTTCCATTCGCTTTGGATCTCTTCCATTGCCTTCAGATTAGACCTACAGCCTACCCTGATTCATTTCCATCATACTGCCAGCCGATCTACGGGAATGTGTTCCCAACAGCCTTGAGTTACATGGAACCCTCACTCTTCATGGTCTTCCATTAGTATCATGAGGTTGCCGATTCAAAGTTGATGGAGCTTGTCGTCCGAAGGTCTATGGAAGTCATATCTTCTTGCTCCATGGAAGCTCCGTAGCCTGCTGGAAGTCCTTACCTTCGATATTAAAACCCTTTTGGACTTGGGGTCCAACAATTGCCCTCCTCAAAAAGAGATGAAATATAAGCTACGTGAAACTTTGCTCTGTTTTTGGGATTTCCTTCGTGTGAGATTTACCATCTTGGGCCTTAACACAATATTCCTCCCAATTTGATATCTTGCGTAAAGCCCTTCAGCCTGATGTGACAGTAGCTTCCTTCGATTCCCGCGTCATATGAGGAAGAAAAGATATTCAAGGGTTTTTCTTAAGGGTTTAACATTACTTCTCCTTTTCCGCTTCCCTTCGTTTCTTCCCCCCTTCTTCCTTCGAAGGATTTGTCTTGTTTGGTGAACGCGAGCTTCAAGCCCTATGGCTTCTTTGACAGCCCTTCCTTCCAGTAGTGTAGCTGAACCTTCACTACTAACGGCGGTCCCGAGTCCGATCCGCTACTCGATGCCGGTCGAGGAGCTTTTGCGCCCGTCCGATGATGGGAGTTCATGGGTGCTGACGCCGGCGGCGGAAACAGATCTCCCAAAGGAGGAACTCCGACGAGTCCTTGCCGGCGACAGTGTGTCCCCCTTCTTGATCATTAAACCATTTTACTCGTTGGCTCTTCGACAAGAAAGGGTCTTGACCAGATATCCCAACGGCGCAACTTTCAAAGAATGGACGGCGACCCTTGGCGGCGCGGTCGATACCCAGTGGGAAGCTTGGGGAATTGACGACATGATCACCGTTAGCACACAGGTTTCTCATCCCCATCCCGACCTCTTTTTCGTGCTCTTAGGTTTTTGGTGTCCAGTAGTGAACGGATTTTGTTTTCCTTTCGGCATGATTTCGCCTACATTACTTGACATTGCAGTGTTGTTAGGTCTCCCTGTAACAGAGGATGATTATGCTTTGTTCCCTCCCCCATCGAATGCCGTACATTTTGGTATAGACTATTCGAAGTCTAGCTCGAGTGCCCTACTTTATGGGAAGTATGGTGCGCTGAGCTCCAAAACCAATTTGCTAGACAACCATAGGACTTTCTTGATGCTCTGGGTGAATCGCTTTTTCACAGGTGCAGCTGGTAGGAATTTGGTTAGGGAATATGAGCCCTTGGTAGTGTCGATAATGGAGGGTGATAATTTGGCGCTTGCTCAGTTCTTCTTAGGATATTTGTATCGGACCCTTAACGATCTTTATACCCGCCTGAGTCGTAAGGAACGCGTATCCACACAAAGGGGACCCTTGTGGTTTCTTCAGCTTTGGGCTGCTTATATATTTCCAGAGCTATTCGACATACCGTGGCCGTTCCAAATTCCGAAGGAAGATCGTATCGGCGTGTTTTTATCTGGATTTGAATGTTCCCGTAACGCTTTCCAAATTACTAGTTTTTTCTTGTTGTCCGGCGAACGTGAGGATGCACAATTCTTCCCTCTACCGGAACGATCTCATGGGCCTGATTGATTCTCCAAGCCCCCGCCGATGAAAAAGGATGACTCCCTTGATTGGTCTTCCATTACTTCGTCATGGAATCAAGTTCTGACTGCAAGGCCTTTGTTGTTGGGTCTAAGGCCTACGTCTCGTTCTTTACCCATTGGGGTGGAAGGTTACTTCCCGCAGTTGTATGCACGCCAATTCGGACTCCGAGAGACTGTCCCAATGTACCGTTTCCATTGTCGAGGGCCCTTCCCGCTGGTGGTGAAGGATGTGATCTCTGAAGGTCTTGATATCTTCCGAGGCTTGAATGCAGCCATTGAGGACTCACCCCTTCCTGTTTTTGAAACCAAGCCTTCCGTTGGTTCGGAATTTTCGAGCTGGTGGGCGTCCTTAAAGGACGTTCTTTTTGCGAAGCCTCCGGCTTCCTGGTTATGCCATTTTATCGATACTGATTCTGACCATCAAAGTGAACCAGCTGACACTGCCGTCGAGGAGGTCGAAAGTGCGGCTCCTGAGATCATCGAAGGTAGGTGTTCATCCCTTCCTTTAGTTTTGATCAATAAATGTCAGCTAATCCTTGTTGTGTTCGCAGTGACAGAGTCTTTCCCCGTACGTAGATCAACCCGACATGCCAAAGCCAGAGCTGCTGCCCTAAAGCCTTCAGAGAAGCGTCGTGCAACCATTTCTCCCAACATCCAGGTTCATATCCATTTCCATGTATTTTCCAAGATCACTTCATGATTTTCTCACTCGTATGTATTGTTGTATCCAGCCTGCTAAGAAGGTGCACAAAGGTGTTGAGGCAACTCCTGCGGCTAAGACCACAGCTTATCCTACGGTGAATCTCCCTTCCGAGGTTCGTCTGCCAAAAACGTCTGTGTCCAAGGTATTCTCATTACCTAAGTTGCATTTCCCTTCACACTCATATTAGAATGTTATTCGCTAACCTCTTTTATCAGCATGTATCTTTGAGAATGTCAGATACTCCATTTCCACCTCCAGACCTTACTCCTGCCCCACCTCATGCGGGTCGCATTGCTTCCGATTCTGTTATCAGTCAAGAGCGTATTCGGGAGTATTTCATTGGACATCAAGGTGCACCATCTGTCTCTGCCTTTTCTGGTCAGCTCCCCGAAGGGATGGATGAACAATTTGTCACTGCCTGTTTCGGGGCGTCCCCGGGAGATTCTGAAACTTTAAGTTCCATCCAACTGGCTCTATTGAATTTGGCGGAATCCCCTTCCTATGCAAATCTTCCCGAGTCTATTCGTGCACAATGGGTCAGCTTATTTTCCAAAGTGAACACTTTCGCCCAACGCCGTAGCATGGCGGAAGAGAACCGAGATTTCGGGAGGACGCATTTGGATCAACTGGGAACGCTGCGGGATCAGAAACAATCCTTGCAAGACGAATTTTCGTATACTGAGGATGAAGCTTCCGATGCTTCGAGCCGGCTTGAAGCCTCTCACGCCGAACAGCTAGCAAAACAAGCCGAGGTGGCTCGTCTCCAAGCTCGGCTCGCCCAATTAGGCCCCGAAATTGCGGGCTTGGAACGGCTATTGGCGGAGAAACGTCGAATACAAGCTGACTTGTACAAGAAATCCCAGCATCTAAATGCCCCCATAGCCGCTTTGTCGCAGAAAAAGGTCCTATACGAGTTTAATGCCGCCAACGGGGGAGGTGACTTTGAAGAAGTTGGAGTCGGAATGGGGGGCCCTAGCCTCTTTGTGGGCGGTTTGTAAACCTTCAGCCCAGGTGTTTTCTTCACCATCTCTAAGTTCTGATGAAAAACATGCAGGGGGTACATCACCCTCTGCTCCCGTGTCTGGTACTCCCATGGTTTCCCAAGCTGAACCTCCATTGCAGACTGTTGCCGACGTCCAAGTGTCTATTGCTCACATTGTGAGGGATTTGATGTCGGTTTTAGAAGTGGCAGCAGACCATAATGTCTCCGGATTGCCTTTGACTTCAGCAGTCTCCGTCTCCGAGGAAGCAGCATCGATCCCAGAGGGCTCGGCCTTAGCCGGTGCAGCCTCGAGCTCTAGTGGAACAACTTTATCTTCGGGGGGTCTCATTTCTGCAGGTACAATTCCGATCGTTGATAGAGCAGCCCCGACCTTAGACGTTTCAACTCCAGTGGAAGCGGTGCCAGTTCCTGGTGGAACAGCTCCAACTATCAAACATCCGATTCCGCCCCCGACAAGTCCAATCCCCGTGGTAGCGGTTCCAGAGCCTGCTGGATTGGCTCCATATTCGGCAAATTTGAGTTCAACTCCAACAGATTCAGTCCCTATGAGAGCGGCGTCAAGCCTTGATGGAACGGCTCCGTCTGTGGAAGATCCGACCCCAGTCCTGGTAGATCCAACTCCCAAGGACACCGCACCTGGTCTTGATAACTCTGAACCCACTGTGGACCGAGTAGCAGAAGATACTCCTCATGCAGTGTGTTAATTTTGGGAACCATCCGCCTCTCTTTGATCCACTCGCCGTTTTGTTTGGATTTTATGATCTACTACTCATTCGGCCATTTACGATGGCTCATTTTCGTTTTGTTTCCATTCGTATATTAACGGCTTGCTAGCCTGTTTTCATTTTGTATATTAACGGCTTGCTAGTCTACTTTTATTTTGCATATTAGCGGTTTAATAGCCCGCTTTCGTTTTACATATTAGCGGCTTAATAGCCTGCTTTCGTTTTGCTTTATATCTAGTGGCCTAAACAGGGTCTGCTTTCGTTTTGCATATTACATTTCTTTACCCGAGCTCGAGTGGCGACATGTATCCCTTAAGGTGCTTAGCATTGATAACGTTTCTATGTTATGTACCATCAATATTCATCAATCTATAAGCACCGTTAGGTAACACTTTACTCACTTGATACGGACCTTCCCATGTAGGAGACCATTTCCCGAATGTATTGTCTTTGAATCCTTCGGGTAGCACCGCCTTCCATACCAAATCTCCTTCTCGGAATGTTCTCCGATGTATCTTCTTGTTGTAGGCTCGCGCCACTTTCACTTTATTTGCCCTGATATTTTCCAAAGCCATCATCCGATCCTCGTGTACGTCATCCAATCTTTGTAACATCGCTGTAAAGTACTGCTCGGGACTAAGAGAATTCTGGTTCAACACTCGTAGTGATGGCACCGTGATTTCCAACGGCAATATCGCTTCTTGTCCGTAAACTAGTTGGAATGGAGTGCAACCAGTGGCTTTATTTTGGTATTGCTTGCAAGCCCATAAGGCCTCCCCTAACACTTCGTGCCATCTTCTCAGGTTATCTTCTACGGCCTTTTTGATTACCCCAATTATGACTTTGTTGGCTGCTTCGGCCTACCCATTTGCCTGCGTATAATACGGGGACGAATGCAAAAGAGCGGTCCCATACTTTGCGGCGAAGGCGGCCACTCTATCGCTGGTAAAAACAATACCTTGATCGGCGGTGATCGTCTGCGGGATTCCATATCGGTGAATAATGTGCTCTTTAACGAACTTGATCACCTCCTAATACATCACATTAGCCAACGGCACAGCTTCTATCCACTTTCTGAAATAATCCGTGGCCACCAATATGAACGACTGGCGTCTGGAAGATGGCGGGTGGATCTTCCCGATGATATCCATCGCCCATCCCCGGAATGGCCATGGTTTCACCACTTTGTGCATTTCTTCTGCCGGAATTCGGATCAAAGGACCATGTCGCTGAAACGCTTCACATCCTTGAGCATACTTGATACAATCCTCCGTCATTGATGGCCAGAAATACCCATATCGTCGGATCATCCATCTAATGAGTGGCCCGGATTTGTGTGCTCCACAAATTCCTTTATGCACCTCACCCATCACCTTCATGGCTTCTTGATTATCTACGCATCTCATTAACATTCCATCGGCGGCTCTGCAGAAAAGATCTCCGTCAATCAGAGTATATTTCAGAGCCTCTTTCCGCAGCTTTTCCGGAGTTTCACCGGTTGGTTGTTCCAAATATTTCCTCAGTTCCATACGCCAGTCTTCCGCATCCACTGGGTACAGATCTACTCGACCTTATTTGAAGTTTTCTGCGGCTGAGACTTGTACCTAGATGCTTCTTGAGCCAAATCATTAGCTATTCTGTTTTCGGCTCAAGGTATGAATTCCACCACCGCGTCGTCGAAAGTTTGCAACATCCTAACTGCTTCCATTCGAAGATTTCTCATCCTCTCATCTTTGCATTGGAACTCTTCAGTAATCTGCTTCAAAATTAGCTGTGAGTCGCCTTGAACTCTGATCGTCTTAGCCCCCTTTTTATGTAGGATTCTCAATCCAACTAATAAGGCTTCGTATTCTGCCTGATTGTTAGTGAATCCGGGTGTTAATGACCTGGCAACAGTCCACTTTTGCCCCCAGGGACTCTCAATGAATACCCCAGCCCCAGCATTAGTCTGCGTGGTGGACCCGTCGAACTTCAAGATCCAAGGCATCGGACTAATAACAGCTTCCATGCGATTAGCTGTTTGGTCAGCCACCAGACTCGGATGATCTGCTAGAAAATTAGCAACAACCTCTCCCTTAACAGCTTTGACCGGTACATATCGTAGATCGAACGCGGCTAGCTTTACGGCCCATTTTGCTGTTCTTCCCCTTAAAGCTGGCCTGCCTAAAAAGATATCTTAAAATATCGACGTGACATACCACTTCTGTTTCTCTCGGGGCTAAATAATATTCAAGTTACGTACAAGCGTAAATAATGCGAGACATAATTTTTTCATAGGAGTGTACCTTGTCTCCACATCATTCATTACCTTACTGAGGTAAAAAATGGCACGTTCGTTTCTATCGGGAGCTTCTTGCGCCAGTAAGCAACCAACCGTATTCTCAGTGGCGGAAACATACAAGCGCAGAGGTTTGCCTGCTTGCGGCAGCATCAACACTAGTGGATTGGTCATAGCTCGTTTAATGGTTTCGAAAGCCTGATGGTGTAGCGGCTCCCACACGAACTCTTCTGTTTTCCGCAACTTGAGCAGTGTAGAAAAAACTTTAAGCTTGCCTGCAGCGTTCGAGACAAATCTCCGAGAAAATTGACCTGCCCAAGGAATCCTTGAAGTTGTTTCAGATTCTCAGGCGGTCGGGCATTGATGATAGCTTTCGTTTTGTTACTATCCACCTCAATGCCCTTATTATGCACCATGAAACCCAAAATGTTTCTGGAGGCCACTCCGAACGCGCACTTCGCTGGATTCATCTTCAAGTTATAGTGCCTCATTCGTCGGAAGGCTTGCTCGAGATCCACCATATGCTCCGGAAAACTCTTGGATTTCACCACTATGTCGTCGATGTAAACTTCCATTGACTGTCCAATTAAATCGTGGAATATAGCGTTCATTGCTCGCTGGTAAGTCGCTCCAGCATTCTTCAACCCAAACGGCATCACCACCCATTCGTACACTCCAAGGGCTCCTGGGCATCGGAATGCCGTCTTTGCAACATCCTCCTCGGCTATAAAAATCTGATTATAGCCGATCCATAAATGACAAACTCCCGTTCATGGCGGCTGCATCTACTAACATATCGGCAACAGGCATGACGTACTCATCTTTGGGTGTTGCCAGACTCAGATTGCGATAATCGACGCATACCCGTAATTTTCCATTTTTCTTGAGTACGGGAACGACATTGGCTACCCATTCCGGGTAACGACAAGTTCGATTGAATCTTGCTCCCAAAAGCTGCTGGATCTCTTCCTTGATTTTCAGGTATATATCTGGATTGAACCTTCGCGGTGGCTGCTTGTGAGGTTTATATCCAGCTTTTATGGGTAGCCAATGTTCCACTAGTTCTCGAGCCAAGCCTGGCATTTCGTCGTAATCCCAAGTGAAACAGTCCCGGTACTCCTTTATAAGTGTCACCAAAGCAGCTCGATCTTCTGACTTCAACAGCGCGCTAACTTTGGTGATTCGCGGAGATTCATCGGTACTCAGGTCAACATCTCCCAGTGGATCCTGGGCCTGGAACGGTGGATAGGTTTTATGCACAGGCGACGGTAATTCCACTTCACCAGTACTTTCCTTGGACAGATCCGGACCGTTGGTGCATTTTCCTCTAAGTTGTTCCGCTTCTTTCTCGGGGTCTGCTCCAGTCGGCTCTGGACGTTGCGTAACAAAGCCTGTTTCGGGCGGCTTAGGGTTTTCCAAGGGGCCAACTCTAGACGGCTCCGAACTCGCTACAGACCCTGTTTCGAATCGCTTATTGCCTTCTGTGGAACCTGCTCTGAACGGCTCTGTATTTGTAATAGAGCCTGTTCCGGGCGGCTCAAATTGAGTTTCGGCGCATTCGAAATTCATCATAATCTTCTTCATTCATAGGCCGTGGATCGGCCCTCGCTTGAATTCTGAATTGATTATCGCTAAACACGCATTCATAATTTCCCTCGTTAGGCATGGAGGCGATTACTTCAGACAACGGGATCATCTTCGAATAATAGAAAGTTGCATCTACAGCTGTAACTTCCGCTGCGAATGGGTCTTTCTCCGCCTCCACTTCTTGAACCTCATCGGCATCCCAGAACAGCAGCTTCTGATGCAAAGTTGACGGTACACACTCGCAAGCGTGAATCCAGTCTCGCCCCAATAATGCCGCATATGAAGGACGACTGTCTATTATTACGAACGCTGAAGACCACTTCTTGGTGCCTACTTGTACCTCCATATTAGCGATTCCTGCCGGTTTATACGAGTTTCCCATGAAATCCGTAGCTCGCACCAAAGTTGGTATTAAATCATCCCTTGTCTTCCCTAACTTTCTGAACGACCGAAATGGCATTACATTGGCAAATGCACCGCCGTCTATCAGTACCCTGCCTACTGGTTGTCCTTCCATTAAAGATCGCACGTATAAGGGTTTTACGTGTTTATTTTGCCCGGATCCAATCCGATCAAACGTGACCGTTGTCACTACCTCGTTCCATTCTGCCACTGGTTCTTCATCTACAGTCACTCCCTCATAATTCTGCTCCCCTTCTGGAGCTTTAAAATCAGATGGCAATACCCCCACAACCGATAGCTGACCACCTTCAGCATTACACTCCTTCGATTGTGTAGTTTTCGGTTACCCATCGGCGTTGCCAGTTTGGAGTTGGTCCGGCTTTTGGAGTAGAGAAAATTAGGCGAGGTTGTAACTCTTGGTTTTCTTGAGGTCTCTCATTCTGCTTACGGGTTTCCGAGGCTTTTTCACCTTGACTTGTTGCTTGCTGAATTTCCGATTCAATTCTCTTGCCTTTAGACCCTGCGCTTTTCTAGTTTGGTTGAACACCTTCAGCTTCCAACTTAGCCTGTAGTCGTCTCCTTTGTGCTCTTCTTTTCTGGGAACGTGTCAGGTCACCCATTGCCCTCCTGGAATTTGTCTCTGGCACATTAACAGTCCATTTCTCCGAATCTACGGCTGACAGAGGTTTCCGTGTCTTTCTTGGAGTAATAGTAATCTGATCGGCAGATATAATGGTCCAGACTCGTTTCCCACTAGCAACTTTCACTTCAGCCACCGTAGCATCCGGCTTAATAGTGGAGTCTGGAGCTGTGGCTTTATTTATCATAGCATGACGCTCCCGAACTTCCTGGGCATTCGGAATTGTCACTTTCAGATTAGGGCTCATTTCTACGACCCTAGGCTCCTTATTTCCAACATTTCCATTAGGCGTCTTTCTAAAAGACAACCTATTGAACACTGAACCCCGTTGTGGAATTCTGGGCCCGAGTCATTCATGAACCGATTGCCGAACCGGTTGCTTTCCTTTGTTCTGTCCCTTGAGACCTCTTGTAGATATGGTATTGATGGATGGTGCAGGAAACGGATTCGCATCCACCTGCATACTCTTTTCTGCTAGCTTCAGTCTACCCTCGTCTAAAGCCTTCTGAATTGTGTTTCGTAGGTACGTACAATTGGCGGTAGCATGTGTATAACTCCCATGCCACTTGCAATACACTTTCCCTTTCAATTCCTCTGGTGACGGCACTCGCTGCCCGTCTCGAGTTTGATTTGTTTGTCCTTCAGCAGATGATCAAAAATATGTTCTACTTTAGACACATCGAAGGTATACTACATGCCTCCGACCTCTTTACCTTTTGTAGGTTTTAATGCCGAACAAGAGTAAGTTTTTCCTTTCAACAAATCAGCCGCTAGCACATCTTGTTCCTCACCACAGTCTTCGTCGGCTGAACTTTCCTCATCGGCACAGTAAGTTATTCATGTTTTTCCATATTTTTTCCGCCTACCTACAGCAGCATCCCGTCTTTCTCGAATGAGCTTTTCTGCCCTCATTGCGAGTGCACTTAAATGCGAACAATCCTGGAAATCCTGAACTCCCAACCGGTCTCGAAGATCTGATCACATATTATCCACTGCCATCGCGGTTGCCTGCTGTTCAGGTATCTGCACTGTGCACCAAGTCTTAGCTTGTCGAAATCTCTCCAAAAATTGTGCCACAGGCTCA